ATTGATGTTTGCAGGCTTCAGGTTTGTCCGTATGGTTGGGAGAAAGTCTGACGCCGCTGCAGAAAGTGCCCCCCTTTGCAATCTCCATTCTGCTCTCTCTGTTGGTGGCAACTTTCACTGAATGCTCCAGCAACACGGCCACCACCACTCTGTTCCTGCCTATACTTGGTTCAATGGTAAACTGAGGGAAAGTTTTAAACGCCTTCACACAGATCCCCAGTTTTTTATGCATTTACAGATATTCCATGTCTTTTAGGCCTCAGCCATCGAGATACACCCTCTGTATGTGATGCTGCCTTGCACTATCGCCGCCTCACTAGCTTTCATGTTGCCTGTGGCAACACCACCCAACGCCATTGCCTTCTCTTTTGGAAACCTCAAGGTTGTTGACATGGTGAGTCAAAAGGAAATATTTATGTGTTCACTTTAAAAGGAAAGTGCTGAGTTAGGTGTATTACTGTCAATTAAGGTATTAGAGCAGCAAATCTCAGAACCTTTCATTGTTCTGCCTCTGACCAGAATGTGGCTGTTTGTGCCCACAGGTGAGAGCTGGATTCATGCTCAACATCATTGGGATCCTCTGCATTAATTTAGGAATCAACACCTGGGGATATGCCATGTTTAACATGGGCACGTTTCCTCAGTGGGCCAACACCACACACAGTCAACCCTGAGCTTCAAAGAGGGGTGGAATTAATGCCTTTAATACCTGAGAAAGTATTTCTATATCTATTTTAGCAGAGCTGCTTGATTGTTGGTAAGTTTGTATGCATAATGCACATTATTCAATATTTTCCTAATCCACTGACCAGTTAAAAAAAAAAAAAGATGCAAAAAAGATGCAAAAAATACAAACATTTTTCATGTAAATACAAAAAAAATGTGTCCAAATTTGTAAAATAGTTTTAAGCTCTCTACAAATTGAAAGAAATTGCATAATAAAAAAGTTGTTCATATAAAAAAATATGTATATATTTAAAGATTTTGAAAATAAATTTTGCAATTATTGGATTCTTATAGCAAATTCAGAAGCACATAAAGTGAATGAAGCATTATAAACAAACATTAATCAGTGTTACTTGATCGTGATATCCATTTTATTTTTACACACAGTTGAACTAATAGGTTTATTACCCACCCTGTGTTTATAACTTCCTGATATCAAGTTTGAAAAAGTAAACAAATACAGGTAAATTCCTAGTAAACATGTCCATTAAATTGCCATCCTCTTATTATTCATCTCAGATATAGATTCAGTGAAAATTATAAATTCCATAACTAAATGGATCCCTTACATAAAAAAAAAATGATTTTAAATGAGCGTAAATTAACTTTATCTGTTAATTTAATTTATTGGTGTAATTTTGTTGACTTTGGTTTTATTCTAATTTATGGTGTTTGTCACTTTTTTATAGTTTTCATCTGATGCAAACTTTGAATTTGTTATCTTGTGATTTGTAAATAACACAGTGCAGAACTTTTTGATTGTTTACATGATGTACTGTTTTTTTTTATTATATCTAACAAATATGCACTTTATTCTCTACTGGGAAAGGGAATAAAAAACACAAGCTTTTTCATTTAAACACTAATTATAAGGATAAAATAAATTTGTCTGTTTAAAATGATGGTGAGGCAAACTTGCAAGAAGATTAAATTTTTTTTTAAAGCTAACGAGCCAAGTCCATCATATGTCCCCTGTTGTCATAGTTGACATTAAAAGGATCAGGAAAAAATAAGTTCGATGAAGAGTCAATTAAATGCTCTACTTCATTAATGACTGAAGAAAAATTCTGACTGAATAAAAACAGAATCTCTGTTTTTGTGTTTTGCCCAAATGCAAATGAATTTAGGACTAAACGGGAGAAAATGAATGGATGGATGGTTACACTTTACAATAACCATCATAACCATAATTTATAGATGGCAAAGAAACCAGTTTTTGATGAGTTACAGAGTTTGTTGATGTTTGTTTCATTTATAAACAGCATCTAAACATAAAAACAGCATTCACCTAATATAAAAGGTAAATAGTTAATTTATCAAAACGTTAAATAAACTATAAAGGCTAAGCTCAGGTCTTAAATTAGCTGATGTAAGGGTTAGGGATAAACTAATATGGCAAGGCAATAGGATTTATGTACCTATTTATAAGACTTAGACAATTTTCATTGTAATTTTTTATGCACAGAATAAATACAAAACAAAATTTAATTGTGTAGAGCTTACAAAAGTGGTAATACAATTGCAGTTGGAGTAGATAAACATTATCAATACAAAGAGCAGCAGTGATGAGAATCAATGTAGGAGGAAAGAAACCTCTTTAAACAATGGTGCAATATGGTATTAACAGTTTGTTAACAGCTTGGATGCAGTTTATAAATGATTATTAAACATTAATAAACTATCTGTTAATCATAACTAAATTGTCTCTTTATCATTTATAATTGATGCTTAGGATGATTATTGCAAAGTGTTACTGTTTTTTTCTAAATTTCAAAATAAGTGTCAGCTGCACAACATGAGGAAAAGAATATTCTAAATATTCTACTTAATGTGTCTTTTTCAGCATTTAGGTGATACATTACATTAGCTATTTGTTCTGTATTGCAATGTGTGTTTCATTAGAATTTAGGAAAGTTGGCTAAGAAATGAAAAAAAAAGGAAAAAATTGATTTGCACGACAAGTAAAAAGTATTCCTTTAAAATCCATTTATCACCATGATGTTTTTTTATTCTTTTATTTCTGTAGCTTGAGGTAATTGTATTAGGTTTGATGTCTGAAGTGAAAGAAATAAAAAAAAACTATAAGTTTAAAACTAATAAAGCAATCTGAAGTCAGGTTTCATTGCAAAAAGCATAAGCCACCAATATTGTTATTTTTATTAGGATTTGAAGTTTATTTTGCCGATTAGAAACAAAGACAGACAAGACAGAAATAAATCATAACAGTACAAAGAAATCCAGAAGACATAATTAATTACGCTCTGGAATAACTCTGGAATCAGCTCAGTCCACTTTAAATGATAGCAAATGATGGCTTGTGTGAAAAAATGTGATTCATTTAAATATTCTTCTGTTCTGTTATGAATAGGAGAAATAAAAATTCTTACTTTTCAATGCAATTCAGTCAGTGTTAAGTAGTGTTGCACCGATACCGATACCAGTATCGGATGGGGCCCCGATACTGCCCTAAAATGGTGGTATCGGTATCGGCGAGTACCAACAAATAGGGCACGATACCATTTTGAGAGCCGTAAGTTTATTCAACTCACCCACTCCTGGTAGGCAATAAAAAGTTCTACTGGATTCACTTTGTATTAGATTTTTTCCTGCTTCACAAAGGTAGGCAGCAGCTCGACAAAGCCATGATGGCAATTATTTTTCATTATTATGGTATCGGTATCGGCCGATACTGCACAGCCAGGTATCGGGTATAGGTATCGGGGCCAAAAAATGGCATCGGCGCAACACTAGTGTTAAGTCATGAGGTCTTACAGCAGTAAATGTGTTTCTCAAGATGTTTTTCTAAAGACACCATCTGTCATGGCGCTCTCTGGAACTCTATAGATCCTTTTTTAAACTAAACTGGTTTCAGTGGTAAACTGGTGCTCCATCTTTCCACTGCTGTCAGCTCGGGCTCTGTTACTCTTCAAATGGTTCCCTCTGAGCACCATCTCTGAACTGGGACAGAGGAAAGAAGCCCTTTGGTCAGGTGCAAGGAGCAAGCTCACCAGGAACCGATCAGGACATTGGTGCATTGGTGTTTCCATGTTTAGAACCCCAGTTAATTTTTTTTGTGCATGTTTTAATATATATATATATATATATATATATATATATATATATATATATATATATATATATATATATATATATAATCAGATTAGAATCAGAATCATCTTCTTAAGTCAGTCATAACACATAGAGCTCCCCTTGCAGATGGTATTTCTATAAGCTGTATTGCCCACTCAGCTTTTAAACAATGTTTTATGTTTAATCATCAGGTGTGTGAAAAAGTCCTGGTGTAAAAAAATATGTTGATGTCTTGTTTTGCAAAAATTTTTTTTTTTTTTTTTTTTTGGAGACACCTGCTGTTTTAGATTGTAAAGCGCCCAGAATTCATGCTTGTTGTTTAAACAGCATTAATGTATTTTTATTGGTGACATTAGGAAATCTGTTTGCAGTAATGCTGAAAGAAATTATGTGATTTGTGTTGTTAAATTGTTTGTATTCACTACGATTGTTCACCAAATGTCAGAATAAAATATTTACTGCATGATCTTTTTGTGATGAGTAAAATGTCCTTTTAGTCTAATAACAAGTGTTGGAAGTCCAAATACTGTACAAACTGTAAATCCTGTTTCATTAGAAACAAAACAAAAAAAAGTTTCTCTGCTTTAGCTAACTGGCAAATGTACAGAAAAAAACATTTAAAGAGAGCAGGTATTTTCTGTGTTTTGAACTGGCAATATACTTATAAAAAGAAAAAACATGATACCACATTTTCTTACAAAAACTATCTTGGTCTGCCTGTCGATTCCCTGCTAAAGCTTGTTGTTGTAGTCGTTGCATCAGCAGAGTCTACAATGCACTTGTCCATGATGTTCAGGTTGTTGCTTCCCTCGAAGCTTAATTTCCTATTGCCTAATACTTCTGAATAAAAATGATTTTCCAACAGAGAGAAATAGTTTTAATTCCGATTGTTATCCAACTGTTCCTTTTTATTGGATCTTTGGGGAAAATAAAAGAGCTAACACAAACCTTTTCTGTTGTGTCAAAAAGCAGCGATAGCACCATACCAGAGATATTTCATGCTACCCTTTTCTGTCAAGAAAAAAAAATCTAAATTACATTTAGTGCAACTCTCATCTGCTTTCTGCATCTTCAGATGCCATATTGCCAAAAAAATCTCTTTAGATGTAATAAATTGTCGGGCACAACTGTAGTTTAGGATTTTAGGTTTTTATTTAGGTTTTACCTGGCTTTTCAATAAAGATGCAAATGCAGTAATGTTTCAGGAACAATCAAATACCTACTCCCACTCTCATAGCATGTTCTATTTATCCTGACACACTGCAAATAAGAGATGTACAGTTCAATGTGGTCTGACTCATATCTCTTTGCATGGTTTGAAGTACACCTCACTGATACTGAAAAGTAACCTCCATTGTTTCTGTGTTTTCTACATAATTTGTGCATTTCCCTATTCTCTTTTAGATCACTGTTTTTACTGTCATATTTTTTTAGCAGACTTTCTTATCTCACTGGTCTGAAAATACACGACCAGTTTGACCCGAAATGTCTGAGGTGAACCCAAACACTCAAAATACTCAAAATAGGTAAAAAGATCATGTACATTTAAAACAAAGGCTATGTAAAGTCAGTACTGAGGACTGATCCAATCCAGTCATGTTACTGTGAATAAATAAGCGATCTCTTTATATAGCTGAACTCTAGTCTTCTGTATGAAGCCATCTGTTTGCCAGGCCACATTTTGTTACGGAACAATAAAACATTTTATAATATTCTTAAGCTCAAACCATTTTGATTCATATCATTAAGTCACGTTATAAACAAATTATCTTAAGTGTTCACCTCAATCATTGCCTAAACAAAACTTTCCTATCTTAAATCTCACTCATTGTCCTGGTCCTTGCATTCCTCCTTTAAGGGCTCAACACAGCAAGTCACTAAATAGTGACTTTCACCACTGAGAAAAGGTGATAGCAGCGAATCGATAGTGGGAAGGTGTTAATAAATCTGTGTACTGTGTGTACAGATGAAAAGGCTGGTTGAAGGATAACTGTGAGATAAGGTGCTGCCAAGAGGATGTAACTGATGCGAAAGGCCATTCTCTATCATGTTTATGACTAGAGAGGCTGCAATAAACTGAAAATAAAATAAAAAAAGGCAGAACATTGAAGGAAAGTTGTGTGCTTCCTCATAAATACATTTTGATATGCAGAGGTTCTTAACAAATTAAACTGTCGTTAAAAAATGGGTCCATTATTGATTCAAATCGAACTCTAAAGTCAGTGTAATTTTTATCTATCAGTCAGTGTCCACTGGAGGGCAGAGCAGAGGCCGACCTCCACAGGTGTGTCAGTACGTTAGCAGGAGTACATTTGAAGCCTGAACATTACGTTCTGTGGTGCCTCTAGCCCTCCTTAAAGGGGAACGCCGTTTTTTTTACATTTGGCCCTTGATTTTACGTTATTACATCATGTTCTGCTCACCCATATAAGTCTTGTGTCGTTTGGAGCTGTTTTGAAGATATTCCGTTAGGTTATATTCAAGTAACGTCTTCCTATGGGCAACGACTTGAAGGCACAAACTGAACTGAACAGAAAATTTTCAAAACGGCTCCAAATGACACAAAACTTATATGGGTGAGGAGAACATGATATAATAACGTAAAATCAAAGGCCCAGTGTGAAAAAAACGGCATTCCCCTTTAAGAGTTTGTTTTAGTTAATCCCTTTATTGTCCCACAATGGGGAAATTCACTCTCTGCATTTGACCCATCGATTTTGGGAGCAGTGGGCTGCCATTTTGTGGCGCCCGGGGAGCAGTGTGGGGTAAAGGGTTTTACTTAGGAACCCAGAGTGGAGGCTGTGGGGATTGAACCGCATAGTTGTAACCTTCTCAGAGCACAAGCACACTACTCCAACCACTAGGCCAACACTTTAATTTTGAGACCTAGTGTATGTAAACTTTTTTCTTTGTGATTTCCTTGAAGAAACCTCACCCTGGATTTTCTGAATCCTCACCTGGCTGACCCATTCTATCTGAAGACCCCTGGATCCAAAGGCTCTATGACTTGCAGACTTCAAACCTCCTCTTCATCTTGCTCTCTGTAGGAGCCTGTCCACAATTCAATACCATCATAGCTCTTGGATTAAAAACACCAAAACCAACACCCAGATCCTACTTGCTCCTCCCTGGCACCATTTTCAACTACATGCACTCCTGTCCTTCAGTCATTAAAAATTAGCTTACTGAACTTTCTCCATAGTCTTCTGAGAGTCACATTACATATAAGGAAGAGGATTAAATTCAAATAAGGCAAATATGCTTTAAAACAGCAAAATTATTTGGTGATGACAACTTGAGGCTTGAGGAAGTGATGTCAACAGTCTTCCCCAGCAATATGATCCAAAAACTTGACATTTATGTACCAAATATTCCCTATGTTTGCTTTTTTATATTAGATATAGTTTTTCCGAGAAAATAAATGTGGGCTTGGAATGGGATTAAGTTATCTGTCTGAATTTAACATAATAAACTTTCTTCCTCTCTTTCAAAATAATACTTAAACACATTCAATTATTCATAGAAAGTTAAGATTTAAGATGCTTTTGTATGAGCTTTAATGCTTTGTTCATAAATTAACACATACATTTTATCTGCTTTGTTTATTCAATGATCAAAGAGACAGGACAATGCAAAAAGTCCCATAAATCTTTATTTTTCAATTCTAAAGTCCCACCAACATCTGGAATGAGGTCAAAATAATTTGTACAATCCACAATAATTTATTTAAAAATCTACTCAGTATATTTATGGAACATTTTTCAACAAAACATTCAAGTCAATCAGTTAAATCCTCAATCGAATCCCGCCTGTTTTCTCTCCAGTCTTTTTTCGTGCAACTATAAACCAGAAATGACAATGAAAAACTAATCAGAATCACACAAAAATAAATCTGTTATCGAAAAGTATCTGAAGACACAGCTGGTTTCCTTCCAACCGGTTCTAGCTCTTCACACATCTGGCTCAGAGGATTAAAAAATAATCTAAAGTATTTAAAAATGTCCAATGACACCAACTAAACAGAATATCCAGTGCACATAACAGAACTGATGTAAAAACGACAATCCACCTTCCAAAGATTGAACTTATTTGGATACCTTTGATTAAAGTATGCATGTTACAGTTTAGAGGCAACTCATGATGGATATTCAGTCATTCATTTCCTTCAAACAGCAGGTGATCATTTATCACTGGCATATGTCCAAGAAGCTTCTGGGTTTGATTCCGGTCCCATGGTCTTTCTGCATGTTCTCCTAGTACATGTGTGGGATCTCTCTGGGTACTCCGGTTTCCTTTCACAGTCCAAAAACATGACTGTTAGGTTAATTGGCTTCTCTAAATTGTCCTTAGGTGTGAGTGTGTGCATGGTTGTACATCTCTGTGTTGCCCTGTGACAGACTGGCGACCCTTTCGAGGGTGTACCCAGACTCTCTCCCATAGACTGACGGAGATAGGTACAGTCCCCATCGCGAAATTGACTAAGCAGGACAAAATGGATAGATCTATCTAAATGAAAACACTGGAATCAAGTATGAGGCAGAGATCTGGAAAAAGAGAAATCAGGGACAAGCACTACAGAAACTAATTAACTTTTTGCTATAATTTGTGTTATACTTTGACAAAATTGAAGTTTAAATTCTTGACCTCCATGAAGTGACACAAGGCTGGAAAAGTACCAAGCCAAGTGCAGATGACAAAGTGCGTTTCTGATCAGATCAGACCAGTTCCTCTTTATGAGTTTCACTGTAAAAATGCTTCACTTTTAGCAAATACAGCATTACGTATAGGTCAACGCAGTCGACAATTAAACTGGGAGCAGGATGAGACGGCACACAAGTCTGATAAATTTAGAACAAATTACAGCCTGCTGTGGAGGAAATGACCTAACAGTGTCTGGAAATCTACTTGACCTTTGCAAAGCAGATTAGAACATTGCTGACACTTAAAAATATTCTTTATTTTCCAGAGCGGTGTTCATGCTTTAAACTACCTTCTACAAAGGGAGAAAGACACACAATCATACAAAACAGCAGGAGACAGGCTCATACACAATTAGAAATTAAAAATCACTCAAATAATAACTTTTTTCCATCCAAAAAAAACTGTTACTGACAATCTAAAAAACACACATTGAGAAATGTTAGATTTGTTCTTAAAGTGCCTTGTAAAAGTATTTGGTCCACTTTTATTTGGATCTCATGTGATCGTGCAAAACTATCAATAAATAAAAATGAAATAAATAGATTAAAGTCCAAGGAAGAGTTTTAAAGCGATTTTTTTACCCACTGCATGAGGTTTTCACCAGGATTGTTTGGCTCATGATGAAACATTATTGTAGTGGGAATGTTTTTGTTCAGTAAGGACAGGGAAGATAAAGTTGATTCTAAGTTGGATCGGAGATCTGGGAGGTGGTTCGCCCTTCAGCATGAGCTATAAATCAAACCACAACCTTGAGTGGCTCTACACAAAGTCTGGAACCAGTTCCAATATGGAGTCTAATACAAAACTGGAAATTGCTTTTCACAGATACTCTCCATTAAATCTGAGCTTGAGTTATTGGCAAAGAATTCTGCCACCATAAAATCTCCACCTTCTGTGACAAAATCAGAAAAAGTTTAAGCGTAATAAATACTTTTACAAGGCCCTGTAATTTTTTACATTAGCTATCTTAATAGTAATAATAAAAAAGTTTATATCAGCATTTGAATTTTTCATTTAATGACGTGGCTAAAAACCATCTGAATTGTAAGCATTATTTTTTTGCTGGTTAACCATGTTACGAACACACTTTGTTACAGCGATGCCCGTGCCTGAGTCCGTCTGTGTGTTTGTGTGTATGCTTCTCCTTCACACGCGTTTCTCTATGCCGCATGCACACAAACACACTGTCAGATCATCACAGACCTATCTGCTCCTGGATGGAGTCGTCTCAACAGGAGAAAGACATAAAGACAGAAAGAAAAACAGGATGTTGGAGCCAACACTATCCTCTGATTGTCCCACAGGTTGGTCCATAAATCCGCCTGTCTTCTGTAGAGGAGGCGCCGTCTCTACGTCCCGCCGCTGTAGGAGTAGTCTGCCTTGTTGTGCATCACCAGCTTATTGTCCACAAAGTAGAAGCTGTCTGACTGTGTCTCATATGGGTGGAGAACCATCTCTCTGACTGTGGGTGAGCACAGAAACAACACTGTTAATAATTCTGGTTCCTAATCTGGAACACCATCATTGTCTCAGTATAAATGCGATCTGCTTGCAAAAACCATTACAAAACAAACTTAAAAAAAAGATTTTTTAACCATGCAAGTTCAGCTAATCCTATTCTATTGTTACAATCTGGCAATTTCAGCAAAATGAAAAAAAAAACAACAACCCAAAAAAACTTTACTTAGCTGTGGTTAAATAACTACATTTTGATTCAGCAATATGACACAGTAATACTTAGCAGCTGTGGGTAGCAGCATCTATTTCCATTTACTCAGTTACATTTACTTGAGTAACTTTTTAAATAGAAATAGATTTACAGCATTGTACTTTTTAAAAAAACATAATGAAGTACTTGATTCTTAGCAAGTAACTTCTCTTAATGAGAACAAGATTGAATGCGCAGGGCCGGTTAAATAGAGACTAGAGCAGGTGACACAGATGAGCAGTAATGAGAAACTGGGCGGAGCTAGGCAGGTGAATGGAAAGAACAATCAACCCAGTCATCAGTTCAAAGATCATGAAAAAAATATTAAATCAGTTAGTATGATCATGTGTGAGTAAATCAGTTACTCAGTATTTAAGTAATATTTTATCAAATACTTTTTTTGCTCTTAATTGAGAGGTTTTACTTTTACTTCGGTAAAAATATAATGACATATTGCTTCTCCTGCTTAATAAGCATTTTTGGATACTCTACCCACCTCAGAATTTGAACTTGAATCAGCTAAATTTCTAAATATATAACACAAAGGGCCTCATCTTCAAAGAATCAAATGAGGAGTTTCTGGAGGAAAAAAATCATGGCAACAAGTGTCAATATTCAGCAGATCTACAGAGAGAAGGACATGCTAACCGGTTCTGTTCACTCTATTTAAATGAGGAAATTAAGTGTGCTACCAGCAGTTTGAAAGTGGCCATAAAAGGAAGATGAAGGTCTAAGCCATAGAGTTGGACACATGATCATAATGATTATTGGAAAAAACAACAACAATGAGGATAACAAAGAGGCAATATATGCACAAAGCTCACATTGTTTAATTTCCATTTACACATCCAATACATATGGCCACTGCTTTGATGATCAGCTTGCCAATGAGTTTGCAGATGTTTTAATACATATCAGCCTTTTAAAAATCAGGCCTTTTGAATTCTAAAATCCAGACTGAATTATTCTTCATTAAATTTAGGTGTATTAAATAACAGTTTACTTGTAAAACTATAAAAAGGTGCTTTATGATTCAGGCCTTGGTCTAAAATAAAGAGAGATATCTGTCTGTCTGTCTGTCTATCTATCACTATATAAACAGCATTAATGTTATAATTTGCAGTAGTTTTTATTGTATTCATGATTGAACAATAAGTCTTATTTTTTGTTTTTAAGTGACCAAAGGGACTCCTATGCAGATCTGTTCCTCTATCGCCCCCATGAGGTTGATGACTAAAATGTCATAATATTTCATGAAGATGAAGATATTTTATTCACAGTATTTTTACTCTCAGGATGAACTCCAATCATTCTATTGACTCTGTAATATGTGATTAAAATCAAACCCTAAGCCTTCCCTGATCCCTGCTGTTTATGTCTAACAAATATGATTAACCCTTTAGCTTCCTTATAAGTGAAAGCTTATCAGCAAAGTGATTCAGGAGAGTTTTCAGTGATTTTTTTAGTCTCCACAGAAAGCTCAATAACAATCACATCTTTCACTCTCTGACATGTTTCAACTGTAATTATTTACGTGGTTTGACTTACTGATGTCCTCTGACAGAGGTGGGAATTCATAGATGTGCTCACAGGTATTCTTGCTGCTGGGCATACAGAAGCCAAACTCAAAGTCAAAGCTCTTGAGCAGCCTCTCCCTGAAATAATGTCTCTCAATCATCCGGAAGTTTTCTATTGGCATGTCTCCGACTGTAAACTCCACGCTGGATGTGTGGGGAAATAGAGAGGTTTATGAGAGAGGTAACGTATCACAGAGCTTTCAGCTCAATCTGCTGCAGACTGTGTATGTATGTTCATTTATACTTACGTAGCTCCAACCTGGCGCAGTCTTAGAAATGCAGAGGTAAATTGGTAACGAACAAAACGGCCGGCGTTAGGGTCGATATCCCTCTTCTCTCCTGCTTTATCTAAGATGAGAACCAGGAATGGACAAAAAATAAATAAACATTAAATTGCTCAGTTAAATAATGACACTCTGAACAAACCCTGTGAGGTTTGTACAGTCTTATATAGGTGTGAATATCCTGGAACTTTTAATAAATTTTGTCATGTAACAACCATAAATTTCAAACTTGATTATTTAGACTGTGTACAGAAACAATTCTTGAGAACTGAATTTCAGCAAGTGAATTAAGGTCTGAACTCAATCTGGGCCATTCCATTGTAAGATAATGCAATGATCTAATATACATATCCCTGCATGCATGTTCAGATTCATTCTCCTACCGGGAGGTGAATCTCCTTCTAGTTTTCAAATGTTTTGTGACCTATAACCTCATTTTTTTTCACCACATTTCCTTTATTTAGCAGTTTCCTTTTCTCATAAACTTGTCTGTCGTTGATCAGGTTTTCCTTAGTTTGAAAAATTCGAACCAGTGTGACTGTATGATTTGGTTGAATTATCTCTGTAAAGTGCCTTGAGAAGACATGTGTTGTGAATTGGCGCTATATAAATAAACTGAATTGAACGTAGGAAGAAAATTGACCACAGGATTCTAACGCCTGGGATATGTACGGTTATAGATTTCCTAACACTATTTTTTGCTTCACTAATGCTCTATTGCAAGTTTCCAAGCCATTTACAAATGTACATAGAGGTAAGCTCTAATCCCTGGATTTTATTTAAGAGTAGCTACTATAGGTGAAGGGGGCTGAACACAGATGCATGGCACATTCAGATCCATCAATCCATTTTCTGTCACGCTTATCCCTGCTGAGTTCGCGAGGGGCCCATCTCCAGCCTATCTGCAACTGTCAATGGGCAAGAGGCGGGGTACACCTTGGACAGGTTGCCAGTCTTTCATAGGGTAACAAAGATTAAAACAAACACTCACACCTAAGGAGAATTTAGAGAAGCCAATTAACTTAACAGTCATGTTTTTGAACCGTTAACTCCATGCAGAAAGATCCCTGGCCGAGAATCGAACCCGAACCCTTGTTGCTGTAAGGCAGCAGTCTTTACCACTGTTGCACTGTGCAGCCACATTCATATTTTTAGAAGTTTTAAAACTAATACATCCACTTTACAAATGGAAGCTATTTTGTTCGTTGTGAATTTTTTTAACAAAATAAAGTATAAAGTCCCACTTTTTGGTTTACCGCAGCTTTTAATTGGATAAAATAAAAACTTGTCCCCTCTACTGCTCAAGGACTCGCCTGTGGACGGAGGTTTGGTGATTTCAAACAGCACGGTGCCCGTTTCCATGTCTCTGATCTTGAACCTTGTGAAGTCGATGTTGTAAACATTCTCATCAGGGCTGCATAGATAGTCTGCAGGAGGAAAAACAGGAGAAGGATGTTTAAAGTGAAACAGGAACCAATGTTGCATATAAAAGAAGATTAGGTTACTTCTTTCTATAAAAGGCTTTGAGCAAAAAAGTAAAAAAAAAAAAAACAAGGCAAAAAAACAACAACCATACTTTAAATCTTACATAATTAGGCAAGTATTCATCAAAATTACAAATGTCACGTTTGCCCTGTTTAAAGTCATTTCAACATCTGTTTTTTCTTTTAGAAAATCTCTTTCTTTGCACTGTGTTCATGAACAATGATGGCGTGACGTTTCACATAAGCCCTTTCCTGACTGATACAACATTAGCACAAACACAGCGACAGTAAGTAAGAAAGAGAAGTCAGCTATTTTTATTCCTGTAATCCTCTCTGCCCTTACCAGGCAGTGTCACTGCTTATTAGAGTTCCCCAGCAGAGCAGACACTTCCTGCTTCCTGCCTGATCCGACATCACTGTTGTGTGAGGGTAACATCCATACATGTGGAGAAGTTGCCGTACGGCTTCTGGTCATGTCAGAAGCCATGAAAAATAGACTGAAACTGGTGGTCTCCGTTATGAGAGAATAAAAGAGTGTCAGTCTAAAAGTAGATGTATTATTTTGAAGACTTCGTTGCTCGGTTGGTTTGGTGTGTTTTCATTCTTCTCATTCGATTGCATTTTTAGCAGTTTTTCTTGCTGCAGTGTCAGCTCATAGGAGCGATCCACATCTGCTGGCTTAGAGAAAAACTGAGGAAAACGGCTTCAGAGGGATTTTTTTATTTTTTGATAATGATGCCAGCTCTAACCAGACAGCCAACCCACCAGCTGTCCTAAAGTCACAATCAGCAGTTTATCCCGTAGCTCTCTGTTTCCTCTTTCTTCTAAATAACGTCAGACCCTGACACCACCTGTCTCTGATTGTTTTAATTGTACGACAGTAGACAAAATCTGCAACTAAACATCTGAAGACAAACATGTTTCAAATGTACATTTCAGGAGACGTTTAAATCAATACCCCGCTGTTACGGGTTATTTCTAAATGCTTAAACCCTAAACATAGTTTTTATTGCACAATTTCTTAAACTAATAATACTTATAGAAAAAAAACATTTAATGAGTTTGCAAAACTAAAAGCACAAACACTGCTTTGCAACTCTTTTCACCACTGTTTGTTCCATTCAATGCAAAGCACTCTTTTTGCAGAATTGTAAGCACCACTCATTGCTTCACACTCAATTTCCAAAATTATCAAAACACTCCTAGCAAAACTACACACATATATGGCTATTATTTACACTATTTTGCGAACTGTCTGGCAAACAGTAACATGTTAAAAAATATTTTAGAAAACTAATTCACATTCCAATCAGCCTAAGCACTATGAATAAGCCAGAGTTAAGCTGTCTTTGAAGTACAATGGAGGGAGCAAGAAGAGTTAGAATTAGAGAAGGCCGAGATGAAGAAGTAGGAGGAAGAGGAGACCAGATATGTCATCATATTTCAATTCAATTCAGTTCAGTTTATTTCTATAGCACCAATTCACAACACATGTCATCTCAAGGCACTTTACAGTTCAACCAGATCATACAGTCAAATTGATTCAGAGTTTTCTACCTCTTTCCAACCAGTTGATTGCATTGAATCATTGACTCAAATACAATTCCTCACACTAAGCATGCTTGTAGCAACAGTGGAGAGGAAAAACCTTCTTTTAACAGGAAGAAACTTCCAGCAGAACCAGGCTCAGTGTGAGAGGCCATCTGCTGAGGTCGACTGGGGTTCATATGGGACAATGCTAGTTTCCATAGGGCTGCTTTGATCCACAGCTGGTTCACTCATCACCCCCTCTTCACTGCACCCAACCTCCCGCCATATTATCCATTCTTGAATTTGATGAAAGAGTTCTAGAATGTCTACGACCATCGTCCTCATCAACGCACAGCCCTTTTACAGGCAATGGAAGAGGCATGTGGGGATATTGACCAGACATCATGTTAGGCCTGGATACGGCATTCCAGGAGATATTTTCCCAGTACTTAGGACAAGAGGACATTACAAGTGATGCAGATGAAGTCTTGTGGTCGGATCCAAAGAGACGACACAATGTCGACTCATATTATTTTTTCAGTGATTTTATGTTTTGATAGGGGAAAAAAACTAACACTTCTGTTTGTTTCGATGTTTGCAAATAAAAACCAATACTTGAAGTTTGGATCCCTGTATGTTTAAAGAACTATGACAAAAGTGTGACCTCAAAAATGACATAGCCTACCTTGTGCACAGAGAAAGCAAATGCCAGATTTGGTTTTTATTTATACCATTAGTGTGTAGTTGGCACATTGTGCGCTTAATAATACGATGTCTTATATTAACTGTCTGATACAAAAATACAATTTTTACGAAGGTTTGAAGAGTTAAGAGTTAAAGGAATAGTACACCCAAAACATGATTAGCCTTCATTTTCTACTCACCCCCATGCTGAACAACACTCTGGAGTACTTTTTTGATATCTCAAATGCATCTGGAGATCTAGGAGGCTTCTTGCTGTCTGCTGACATTCAAATAATGGAGGTCTATGGTGCCCGAGGCAGAAAGGTCCATAAAAGTCCACAAAAACGTGTCAATATTCCTCCATACTGCTCGTCCAATGTATTCCAAGTGTCCTGAGTGGGTAGCGTCCATAATTTACTCGAAATGAAGTCATTTAGAATATTTTTAGAGCATAAACAGTAGTATATAGGATTTCCTAAAAGCTCGTTCACGAGTCTACGGAAACCGCGGCAGACCAAACCAGATGAAAGTGCGCATTCAGCTCGGCAAAGAACTCATGCTCTTCCTCAACACTGAAGTCCTCAGACATTTTTCTTTCGTTGTTTCTTTCTTTGCAAAGGTAAACAGCACATTTCTTCTTCTATGCTTGCATTATCGGCAGAGCAGACGCTGAATGCGCACTTTCATCTGGTTTGGTCTGCCGCGGTTTCCGTAGACTCGTGAACGCGCTTTTAGGAAATCCTATACACTACTGTTTATGCTCTAAAAACATTCTAAATGACTTTGTTTCGAGTAAATTATGGACGCTACCCACTCAGGACACTTGGAATACATTGGACGAGCAGTATGGAGGAATATTGACAAGTTTTTTGTGGACTTTTATGGACCTTTCTGCCTCGGGCGCTATGGACCTCCATTATTTGAATGTCAGCAGACAGCAAGAAGCCTCCCAGATCTCCAGATGCATTTGAGATATCAAAAAAGTACTCCAGAGTGTTGTTCAGCATGGGGGTGAGTAGAAAATGAAGGCTAATCATGTTTTGGGTGTACTATTCCTTTAAGGTTTATTAGCTTTTGCAAGACAGCTTCAATGTCCTACTGATTTGGCGAAAGGTTTTCTTATTTGTGAGAAGAATTTTAGAAAAATAGCCAATAGTTTCAAAAATTGTGCTTAAATTGTGCTGTCAGAAACCTTGTATCTAGCAAAAACAACACGTTTTGTGGTGATCCTTTCATTTTAAAGACCTGCAGTTCTTAATTCATCCTGTGCTTCAAAATTTCTTGCTAGCATATGAACGTCGGGTGTATTACTAACAGATATAGGTCTGTGCTGGGAGCTGAAACATTAGTGATCCAGCACAGAAAACATGAGAGTGAGAAGCAAGACTTCCTCAAATAACAGGAAGAGGTAGAGAGGACAGGAAACTTGTTAAATGTTTGTTTTTTTACTCTAAATTTCTTAATTTCACGTTCAAGGAACTCAGAGCTACGTTAAAGGTCTATATTCTTAAAGAAATACAGACAGACTGCTGCATTAACCAACATGATCAAGCTAATTGCTAATATAAGAGGCAAAAGCCAGTTTAAAATTCATTATCTGCAAGCACTTTTTATTTTATTTTAATCAATACAGTATGTGGAACGGCTAAGCCTATGGTTAAAGCCACTGTGATGCTTGATGGACGGTACTGACATGCATGCTGCTGTTATTGATAAAAACTTTTGTCCAATAAATCTAGCCGTAACTATTTGGTCTTTATTGCTCCCTATTGATTGGATTTGCTTTTCCACAGTTCATCTTCAGTTTATAACATCATCCAGCAATTCCCACCAATGCAGAGGTCAGGGACAGTTTAGTCCCTCCAACACCTGAAACTAATCAAAACATCCATATCCTATATACAGACCTTTATAAACAGAAGAAAATCCAGCTGGGAGTCACAACAGTAATAAAACTAACAGAGAAGGTGTGTACTATAATTCCCTTTTGGTACACAGTGTCATACACCTGTGACAAAATAAGCTGTTATGTCTCAAGACAGGAAACAGGGATTTTTAAATTAGTATATTCTTATATTGAGGACGGGGGGAAAAAGCCCAAAAAGGGATTATTTTCTTATCAAATAAAAATATTCTCTCACTTTGTTGCATAAAACAGGCGTCATTTCGTAAAATAAGGCCTTAACATTCAGAGAGAACTTTTTTAATTGTATTGAATAAGAAAATGCATAAAAAGTAGATAACCTGTACATGAAAGCAACCTTCTTCTGAAGGGGTTTAGGCCTCTGTCAGGCCTCCTGTTTTGTGTCTGTGTTTCTGTGTTTGTCTACCTTCATCCACCAGGAGGCGCCTGGTTCTGGTCCGCCTCCTCACACACCTGCGGATGGTTTCCTCGTTAAACGGAGTGTTCTTAAGCTGCTGACTGCTACTACTTCGTCGTCAGAGCCAAGCTGACTTTCCTGAGTCAACCTGAGTTTTTTGTCAACCTGAGTTTAACTTTGTTTTGTCTTTGCCTCTTGGCAGGAAGTTGTCCTGCTAACTGGATCTCTCAGACCTTCACACCCTGGAAGGATAAACTGAGCTTCAAACTGAGCTGGGATTCAAACAGAAGGTTTGGATCCACTATCCCCAAGAGATCGTTTGAGCTTCTCACTGAGAAAGGGATTATTCTCCACAACGACCCATTCAAGTCCCGCAGGAAATCTGAGTGGCAGTCAGTATCTCCGTTC